GGATGGCCGGTTCGCTCACTGGCTGAGCGTGGTGCTGACAACACCAAGCCAAGGGTTAAGATCCCCTTACCGGTCATCTTTAAAAAAAAAAAAATAAATAAATAAAAACACAGTATGCCTCCTTCAGGCCAGTTGCCAAAAAAATTTTAAAATAATAAGAATTTTAAAAATAAAAAAATAAGGGCCAGCCTGTGGCTCACTTGGGAGAGTGCGGTGCTGACAACACCAAGGCCACGGTTCGGATCCCTACATAGGGATGGCCGGTTAGCTCACTTGGGAGAGCGTGGTGCTGACAATACCAAGTCAAGGGTTAAGATCCCCTTACCGATCATCTTTTAAAAAATTAAAAAATTAAAAAATTAAAAACAGTATGTCTGGAAAGACAGAATGCTGATAATTGTTGAAGGTGCGTGATGTATGGTATATGAGGGTCCATAAAACTATTGTCACTACTTTGTGTATATTTGAAATTCTTATAATAAAAAGGAAAAAACTAATATCATTTTTACACAGCTCTGATTAGAGTAAAAAAGTTCTAAGTAGCAGATTAATTGGCTGAAGTTCTATGGCAGATTCAGCTTAAAATCAAAATGAACCAAAATGCAGAGCACTGCTTATTTTTTAACACCACACTTACTGCTCACCAAGCATTATTATGCCAGGCACATTAAAATAATAAAACTGTGGCGGCCAGCCCCGTGGCTCACTTGGGAGAGTGCGGTGCTGATAGTGCTGAAGCTGCGGGTTCGGATCCTATATAGAGATGACCTGTGCACTCACTGGCTGAGCGTGGTGCGGACGGCGCTGAGCCAAGGGTTGCGATCCCTTTACCGATCAAAATAATAATAATAATAATAATAATAATAAAACAACTGTGAATCACGTAATGACACCTCCACTTTCCAAGTGAGGACACTGAGGCTCATGGTGGTTGAAGCCAGGCAAGCAGCAGAGCTGTGATCTAGATTCACAGTGGTCTGATTGGACAGCCCCAGCAGTAACATAACCACCCCTCAGACCAACAGAAGGAAAGAGCCACTATATCAACAGGCCTGGGAAAAACACAGAACTGAAGTTGCCGGAAAGCCAAAACATTCCTCAGGGCGTTTATCACAACCTGAGGGCTCACCAAGGCCAGGCCCTCTGCCGGGCCTCTGTTTTCAGTCACACTCAATGACAGGGTCACAAAGGCACCATACCAAAGGAACTGGCTAAGGCTGAGGGGATTTGGTTGCACACATTTTTGAGAACTTATTCCTTAATATGAGCAACTCATATTACTATTTAAAAATGACAAAATAATATATATATATTCGTCTTATAGTATTGGGACAAAAATCATGAAAAATATGTCTCAAGTCCTACTTGTACACTCACAAATGCTAGTGCAAAATTAAGTACATTCTATATGTTTTCAAAAGGCAGATTAAAAAACCACAAAAAAGCTGAAGGGAACCAAATTTGGATGCACTCACTTCAGAATACCTAACTAAAAATGGAAT